GTACCTTAATCCAAGTACCTACTATCAAGGTCCTAGAGACAGTTCAATATGTCTACGGACCAGAAGAATCCACACCTGTCATAATTCCTGGTAATAGGCCCACTAAACACAGATCTGTGAACTCAACTGAAATTATGTGGCCTCATTCTAATTTCATCGAATTATGGTTAGAATCAGTCCAAAGGCATGAAGGGAGAAAGTGTTTATCAAAACTGGTCTATGAAGACTAGAAGTAGTGCTTGTTCCTTCAAAGTCACAGACATTAATTAGCACGAACTACATGGGTCATGAAGAATCACAAAGCATGACATCACCAAAGGAAACTAATATAGCAGTAACGAATGATCTCCCAAAAGGAGATTTGAAACTAATGAATACAACAGGAGAAGTAAAAAAAATTCAACAGAAAGTTTCAATGTTTTATTTGTGCATGCAGAGCCAAAACCAGCAAGTTCAAAAACATGATGCTTAACGTAAGGCAGAAAACAGAAAGCATACAAGCCTTATGGGTCACCAAAAAACAAAACAAAATAAAATCACATGCTTGTTTCAAAGGAGAAGAAAAAGAATAATGAATGAAAACTTCCCAAGAGAGATTAGGACATCCAGATTCCTAAGTTCAAATGGTGTCAGGCATGAACACTACCTTGAGACCTATTGAAATAAAACTGTAAAAGTCAGTAGCCAGGAGAGAATTTTGAAAGCAGCAAAAAAATAAGAAAGTCATCACATGCAAGTGAAACCCCATGAGGCTATCAATAGGCTTCTCAGCAACAAATTCCAAGACAGGAAGTGAGATGATAAATGTAAAGTGGTAAAAGGAAAAAAAAAAAAAACCCCGATCACATGAACGCTATAACCAAGCAAAGCTATTCTTCCAAGAGGAAGGAGAGATGAAAAACTGACAAACAAAAGCTGATAGAATTTATCACCACTAGGCTTGTCTTAATAAGATGACATGCTAAACAGTATTATTTAAATTGAAATGATAAGATATATAAAACAGTAACATGAAAGCATTTGGAAAACAGAAAACTGGCAAAGGTAAGCACGCAATCAAATTCAGAACACCCTATTACAAATTCAGTAATGCGGGCCCGGCAGCGTGGCCCAGTGGCTAAAGTCCTCACCTTTAACCCACTGGGATCCCATATAGACGCCGGTTCTAATCCCGGAGGCCCCACTTCCCATCCAGCTTCTTGCTTGTGGCCTGGGAAAGCAGTCGAGGACAGCCCAATGCTTTGGGACCCTGCACCCATGTGGGAGACCTGGAAGAAGCTCCTGGATCCTGGCTTTGGATCGGCACAGCTCCAGCTCTTGTGCTCACTTTGGGAGTGAATCATCAGGCGGAAGATCTTCCTCTCTGTCTCTCCTCCTCTCTGTATATCTGACTTTGCAATAAAAACAAATAAATCTTTTTTTAAAATTCAGTAATGCTAGTATATAAAGCACAAAGAAATGGAATGATTCTTAGAAATATGCAAACTTCTGAGACTGAATCATAAAGAACAGAAAATCTGTACAGATCAATAATGAGCAAGGAAATTGAAATAAGAATGAAAAACAATCCAATAAAGAAAATCTCAGGATCAGAAGACTTTACAGGTGAAATGTACTAAATATTTTAAGAATTAATACCAATTCTTCTCAAGCCTTTTTGAAATACAAAGAGGACAAAACACTTCTAAACTCATTTTATGGGGCCAGCCTTATCTGTCAGTAAAACCAGGTAAGTATACTATACAAAAAGAAAATTACAGACGAGTATTACTGATGAACATACATGCAAAACTAAACTGAACAGTATAATACAAAACCAAATCCAAACATATGAAAACAATTAAAATACAATTAAAAGGATTTATCTTTGTGAACTAAGAATAAAAACCAATAAATGTGATACAAATGAACAGAATCAAGGATAAAAATCATATGATCATTTCATGTGCAGCAAAAATTTTTGTCAAAATTCAGCATAATAAAAATTCCCAACAAATTGGGCCCGGCGCGGTGGCGCAAGTGGTTAAAGGTCCTCGCCTTGCATGCCTGGGATCCCATATGGGCGCCGGTTCTAATCCCAGCAGCCCCGCTTCCCTTCCAGCTCCCTGCCTGTGGCCTGGGAAAGCAGTCGAGGACGGCCCAAAGCTTTGGGACCCTGCACCCGTGTGGGAGACCTGGAAGAGGCTCCTGGCTTCGGATTGGCATAGTATCGACCCGTTGCGCTCACTTGGGGAGTGAATCATCGGACGGAAGATCTTCCTCTCTGTCTCTCCTCTCTGTATATCCGCCTTTCCAATAAAAAAATAATAATAAAAAATAAATCTTAAAAAAAAAAATTCCCAACAAATTAAGAACAGAAGAAATGTACCTTAACAAAATCAAAGTCATATATGCAATGGTAATAGTTAATATCATATTTGATGGTGAAATGTTAAAAGATTTTCCTTTAAGGTCAACAAGAACACAACATATTGGCCCACCTTGCCCCACTTCTGTTCAAATAGCAATGGAAGCCCTAACACAATTTGAAAAGAAAACAAAAAATAAGTAATCAAATAAGAAGGAAAACAGGTTAAATTGTCTATACTTGCCAACAACATGATCTCACATACAGAAAACCTAAATGATTCCATCAAATATCTGTTAGGAATAATAAAACAATTCAGAAAAGTTGTGAGAGGCAAAATAAACATACAAAAATCAGTTGCATTTCTACACCAATGACAAACTATCTGTTCATCTGTATCACATTTATTGCTTTTTATTCTTAGTTCACAAAGATATATCCTTTTGTGCTGATATGGGTTTAAGTGATTAATCCTGGAAGAATCCCACACTGTACACAAAATCAATTTTACAAATATGAATTTTGGAGCCTCTTTTTTAAAAAAATTATTTATTCTCATCTTATTTTAAAGCCAGGGAGAGACAGGATGTTCCATCCACTGGTTCACTCTCTCCAAAAGATTGCAATAGCCAAGGCCAGGTCAGACTGAAGCCAGGAGCCAGCTCAACCCAGGCCTCCCTCGTGGGAGATATACATTAGCAAAAAACTAAAATTGAAAACCAGGAAAAAAACCTTGGCATTCTAAAATGGGATACAGGTTTCACAAATGGCATCTTGATCAATATGCCAAATGGTCACCTTTGGGATTTTGAGAATCTGTTAACATTTTCAAGTGGAAAAACTACCCAACATTTAAATTTCATCATTCTTTAAAAAAAAAAAATCTAAAAAGTCTACTATATTCTCTACAATCCTCATTTTTTTGGCTTTAAGAACCGAAATATTATGCACAGGTAATAGGAACGAGCCAAGATAAAGCTATACACAGATGCCACTTCTTGCAAAGTGACATACTGGTACTGAAGGCTGTTGTTTTAGAAGCAAGCAGGTCCATTAAGCCTGACAATGTGATTCTGGAGGGTGCTGTACAAATCTCTGCAATGAGAATTTGCACTAGACAAGGAACATTATATGCAAAGAGATACAGTTCTGGAATGTTATCCATAACCTGCTTGTCCTTGGAAGAGATATAATAAAGTAAGATGATGATGAGTGAGAAAGGCAAAGGAAGAAGCAGGCTTCATCACCCATCAACAATGAGAGTTCATGGAGAAAATATGTGACTTGATACACAGGAGGAGAAACCAGCTAAATTTGCTTTTCAAGTTTCCACTGTAAAGAAGATTCTCATCTTACAAAGCATACAACTTCAAACAGAACTGACCTGAAGGCAAAACAGATTATGAAGAGTTTGGGCCCTTGTTTTGAAATTAACCAAATGCGATTGATTAGACAGGGGTCCAAATTAAGTTTAATTGTGAACTATGTTCATTTCATGTCTGAGTCAAGAACAACAGATAAATGCCAAAAAGCCTCCACACAATATTATGGTGAAGCTCTGTCAACACAGTGAATGATAGTATTTAATACAGAAAAACTACCTTGAATTAATACTAAAAAAGGCAGATTAAAAAAAAAACTCAGAAGTATACTTCTACAAAGTCACTAAACTTTGCATGATATAAATTTGGTTTAATTTTACTTGAAAGGTAGAGAGACAGTTACAGAGTTCCATCTGTTTATTTATGCCCCAAATGCCTGCAATAGCGAGGGCTGGGCTGGCTGAAGCCTGGAGTCTAGAATTCAATTGGAGTTTTTCACATGGATGTCAGGGATTCCAACTACCTGGGCAATCATCTGCCGTCTTCTCAGGGTGGGAATCAGCAGGGTGCTGGAAGTAAAGTGGAGGAAGAACTCAAACCCAGATGCCATATAGGATAAGGCAAGACCGAGTGACATCTTAATCACTGTGCCAAACATCTGCCTTCAATCAATTTAAAAAATAGTATCATTTGCAGCTGTTCCTGTAAGTAAAGGTGAATTATATGCCCAAAGTCCATGTTTTCTTTTCCTTATTCTATTTCTTCCTATTGCTTAACAAAAATTAGGAGGATATGGACTGCTTCTAAAAAGACAGATTCTTTGGCTAAGAACACAAAAATAATGCCAGGCCTGGTTGCATATGATTTATAGATAAGTGGTTGAGAAGTAGAGTGAGATCTCAGCCTCTCAGAAAAACTGGCCCCTCTTCAAGTTTAAGGCAACACATGTGATCGTTTATTGCAGCAATCTGCATCACTTGTCTGGTGGGCCAGTATTAGACACAGAAGACTATTTTACACCCAAGACACAAGAGAAATCATACTGTTCGCTCTTCTGCAAATACATAGTAAGGCCAGTTACTTATATAGAAAAAGGGAAATGTGTACTGCCAGACTTTGATTGAATAAAAGGTCCCAAATTCAGCTATTTCAGAATTACCTGGGAAGCTTGTGTAAGCCTGATCTAAGGTTTAGACTACAAGCTTTCCATATCTTCTATCAACATTCCTGCATTAAGAAAAAAATCCTTATCCTACATCCAGGTGATTCTTTGCCCATAAAGCATGAAAAGTGCTGAAAATTATTAATATTCCCAGATTTGCATTACTCACGTGTAAACCTTAAGAACAAAGTCCTTTTCTTCCTTTAGTTCTGTGAGTGATTGTAGGACATCCAAGATGCTTAAGACCGCACAGCCATATGGTCGCCTGTAGTGCAGGTGAGCAGGGCCCTTCTTTGAATCATTCAGGAGCATCCGGCCTTGGGCACAGCAGAGAACACCAATAAGACTGAGAATTCCACACTTCTCTCCAGAATTTCCTGACTGTCATCCATGGAAGCCAGAGCTAGAGGCACCTAAGAGTTCATCTAAGATGCAAGGCTAATGAGCTGAGGGAGTCATTCAAGGAGATTCACATGGAGGAACAGCAAACAGGCCTCTAGTTGATGGCTGTTCTCCTGCATCACATGCCATGAATCATGCTTCTCAATTCTTTAGCCAATGCCAAACAGGCTAGTTATTAACTACTGAAAATAAAAGGAGCAATTTCTAGAATTTCTTTGGAGAATCAGCTTTCCAAATAGATTTAAAATTGTGAGGCACATTAAGGATACAAAGGTTAGTATTTTCAGGGCCAGATATAAACTATGCATATACAGAAAAGGAGGACCTTGTGTTTTCCCACTCAAACTCTGCCACCAAAGGCAGTCCTAAACCAACATAGGAATGAGAACAGGCGAAGGGAGAGGATGGCTGATTATTTTTTTCTGCTTACCAAGGTTCTACCTAGGGGCAGGAAGACTTGAAAATACTGGAACCCCAACAAATGCTTTATTAAGCACAGCAAAATAGACGGTTTGTTGGAAAAGGATCAAAACAGTATTTGACAAAAATGTACATGATATACCAGAACAAGAACCTATGAAGGAAGACTTGGTTAGTCACAGCCCTAAAAGTTATGACATAAACTTGAAATAAGGATGGGCAAACCAATTGAAGAACAGTAGCAAAGGCCAGTTTTTCTTTCATTTGGTTTGGAATTGAGATGCCATCCACCTTCTGGGGTGATGACAGTAACTTTAATCTTGTGGAAAAGCATACAGATACATAATTTTAGACACAAAGCACAGCAAAGGGAATTCACCACTTGTCAAGTTGGCACTCCTGGCAATCTGCTGTAAGATCTTTGAGGAGGAAGATAGGTAAAGAAACAAGTCACTGGGCTGAATAGACTGTCAAAAACCAGTGTACTTAAAAGGAGTAGGTCTCAAACCAATTAGGTAACAGAAGATTTCAAATGAGAAAAAGTGCACTGATTTATATCAACCCCGACACTGCAGCAGTTGAGCTTAAAGGCAGATAAACTGTACTCTAGTCTGGCGACCTGAAATAACAGGTCAGAACTGGGAGACAAAGCTCATGCATACAAGATATCTCAAGTTAGGTTTAGTAACACGAATATATAAAGTGAACAGTACCTATTCGGATCACATGGGCAACTATATATAAATCTCTCTTCAGATCTTTGCTGCTCAGATCCTAAGAAGAGAAAAAAAAAAGTTAAGTTCAGACGAATACACAGAACATAATGAAAAGTTCACTTTGAATGTTACAGTGATCTGCTTTAGAGTATGTTACCTTTAGGTAGTGGAAAACAGATTACAATACACAAGAGTTTAGTATTAGATCCTTGCAGCAAAAGTTTGTATATCTTATATGTCACTGGAAGATTAATTTAATAACAGTATTTTTCCCAATCTCATTTAGACCACCTAAAAATCAAAATCTATGGAAGTTCTTACATTAAAAATCTTCATGATTTTGCCTCAACCCATGTTTATCTTATCATGTAAAAACATTCTGTACCAAGAAAATATATGTTCACTACAGAAAAAGAAAAGATCATTCATGGCTGAAATTTGGAAATTTTATTCTCTACTAATTTTACAGGTATTCCATACTGACTTACTCCCTTTAGATGAGAACAGTTTTGCAGTAAATCTTTTATAATTTGATCTACTTTTGTAACTTCAGATATTTATCATTTGTATTAAGTTATAAAGTTGAAAATAATTTTATTGGAAATTTTTTTTAGGATTTATTTTTATTGGAAAGTCAGATATATATAGAGAGGAAGATCTTCTATTCACTGATTCACTCCCCATGCAGCCACAAAGTCCTTAAGGTTTTAATTTTTATGCACTGTTGTAATTGGCACTAAGGGAGACAAGCAAGTTATACAACTGAAAGGAGTGCTGACTTTCAGGTCCCGTGCTTTGTTTGTCTTACTCTAGTCCCAACCTTGCCTGATGGCTCTAAACATAGGAAAGAAGATGTTAAAAAGTTCTAGGCAATGGCAAAGCTGAAGCTTTAAGATTCTAGATGGTTACAATATTTTGCCAAGTTCTTAAAATGACACATACTCAAACAGGTTGCAAATAATTTAACAGAAGTCGGTGTTTTTGGAATCACCAATATATATTTTTACATGAAAACTTTTTATATTGAAAAAGGATGTTTCTAGCTCTATTTCATTAATTTTAATTTAAAATGAAATTCTCAAAATAGCACAATAGTCTGATAGTTACTCTGATGAGTGCTAAATAACAAATGCAAATTTTAAAAGATTATCACTTTTATTCCTTTTTGAAGTTGAAATGTATTTATTACTGATAAGCACAAACATGTTTGACACATTTAAAAGTGAAATGGTAAGTTTTAAACAGTAGATTGTATTATTCTAAACTCCAAAATTTCTAGACAATTCAAGCCAGTTACTAAAGATGACCAAATAATTATCAGATGGGCTGACACAAGAATTAGGCATTATTGCCTTGGCTCTGGCTCACTGAATAAAAGGAAAGAGTCCCAAGTATAATGTATGGTATGTCTCATGTAGGTGGGTGGGAGTTCTTTTGACCACTGTGTACATGGTACTCATACATAATTCTCACTAGTATGGATTAGAGGTCAGTGAAAATAAGATAGCTATCTTGTTAAATAAAAATGCATGCTTAAATCTGGTTCTCATAGGGCTATTAAAATTGTACTCTATACTCTTTAAGACTAAGTATCAAGCACAGTCACTTATATTTAAATATAAAACATGCTAAAACCAAGATGAGGGAAGTGTAAGGTACCAGCATTTATTTATTGAGCCAGGTGTGGGTCTTGACTTCATGGTATAAATTAAACTTGCTCACTGGATGAAACTTGGGGCCTAGAATCTTCGACTTATCATATTCCATATGAAAGATGGAAAGATTATTTTACTTCTCTGTGCCCAGGCAATTTTTCCATAGAGATAAAGGGATTTATAAATATAAAATACAGCAAATTTATTCTCTTAAGCTTCAGGTAGGGAGAAATATTTTAATATATGATGTTATCACAGTAATAAGTTCAATTGTGAATTCCAAGAAATGAAATACTTAAGAATTTATAAGAGTATAAACAAAGATATAAAACGTAAAGTCAACTAATTCACTGAAGATAGCAGAAATTAATTCTCTGAACTGATCACTAATAGTAGCAAACACACAGGTATTCATTTATTTAAATAACAAATCATTAATGAGATCTCAGCATTTGCCAAGCATTATATGCAAGGTGTTAGAATATCTAATGATGAGAAAATTCACACAGACATTTTCAAACACTTGTGACCACAATCATTGTTAATTGTGAAAGTCACAAAAATCCTCATTGTATTGAAACTCATGTAAGTATGAAACAGTCCCTTTTTAAAAAGATTTATTTAGACAGAATCTAACAAAAGGAAAAATCAGAAAAGTCAGCTTCACAAGCAACTAGGTTGTACCATGGATTCCATAAGTTTATTATGACTCTGATGTCTGCTGAATAACTCTGAGAACTGCTCCGTCTGTATGTTTCCCTTTCCCTGTCACTAAGTTAAGCTAACATTCCGCATTGGCCACTGTTGTGGCTGCATTTTCTTGTACTACTGTAGCATATTTTCCAGTCTGGAAAATTCCTTTAACTCTCAAAAGATCTTAGTCTTTATGCAATGACAAAACAAGTTCCACCAAAAGTATTTCATATAGCTTTTTAAAAAACCATGAAAAACCTGGATATCATCTTTTTAAAAATATTTGTATGCCTTGTAAAAATTCCTCAGGAGCTTCGACTATATTGCAAAGCATCCTGAGAGCAGCACATTGAATGTAGAAGAGGTACGCAGGCGGACAAAAGCATACCATGTTATGGGTTTCTCTGACTTATAATGTTGGAGCTACAACTTTGGCCTCTTGGCTAATACAGACAATTGAAATGCTAAATAAAAATTTTTATGTATTGTAATTATGTTAGAATGCCATTATTAACTTCAGTTTTCAAGAAATGAGGACTGCACTCATATTCAAGGACTCAAGGATAGTACATGCACAATTCTGCTTTCACAAACCTAAAGAACAAGTCATCAACAATTTCTCTTGCTTTATCAGATAATTTCAGAGAATCAGGATCCAGGAAAACTGTCTATAGTTACTGAGACATTTTATTCTAGACAAATGGGTATCTCATCTCTTTCTAATTGTTTTAGAAAGGAGGACTCAAAGAATGGCCTCAGAGTTCAGGTGCTTTCACCTCAGAAGCTCTAACCTAAGACCCCAATTGTTATTTTCTGACTAGATGGCATTGACCTTTCCAGACTAAACTCTATTACTGCCCTTAATCATCTTCACAGATCTGCTTTTCCTATACTTTCTTCTTGCATTAACTCTTAGGTATTGAATTGTAAGCTCACAGATGGACAAAACATTTTTTTAACAGATTTATAAGTATTTCTGTACCTCAGGAGCATTTTCAATAAGCCCTATCCCTGTAAAAACAATGTCTAATTTTGCAGTAATATTATGTAATGTTTTTGAAATGTAAAGTTGTAGTAAATTAACTAAAAAGGAAAATGAGCAAATGCTGTTTTATTTTTCAGAGAAAGGAAACACATCAGATTTCCAGTTAAGTATTATCTGCATCTAAATGGCACACCTTATGCTTTCAAGTACTCACTATTACCAGTCAATTACACACGACATGCAGTCAGTGGCAATGTCAGAGTATTATCTCCTAAACTCAGCAGATTTTGTTGTATTTTGGTTATCACCGAGACAGAACAAAGAATCTATGCTAGTTAAAACTTGTTAAACTTGTGACACACCAGGGAGAAAAAAAGGTAGGTGGGATGGGGAAAGATTGATTGACAAGTACTAGGTTATACCTAGATAGGAGTAGGTTATTCCTAGATAGGAATTCTGGGATTCTATGACAGAAGGGTGAATACAGCTCATATTAATGTACTATTTATTTACCTATAAAAAAAGAAGACAGATTTTGGATGTTTTTATTATAAAGAAACATTAAATGGTTGAAATGATAAGTATATTACCCAGATTTAACATTACACAGTATATACATCCTCCAAAACATCACATAGTACACAGTAAACACAATTTTTATTTCTTAAAATTTTAAGTGAAATTTTTAATAATTAAAATTGTGACACAGTCTTGTCTCCTCTTTCATGAAACTCTAATAAAAAAAAAGCGGAATAGTCTCCTTGTTGCAAACAAATATCAGAGTCAACCTGGAAGTATACATGAGGTAATGTGGCTTTACTAAGTTTTGCATGTTTCAGTAAGTAGATCACCAAGTCTTTCCTAAGTTGATGAGGCCATGAACAATAGAAAGACTACTGAGAAAAATCTAAAGTCCATGTCATAGAAAAAAAAAAAGACCATCTGTTGGGCTGATATTTGAAAGAGGACTATCGAGTCTCTCCTTTTATGGAATTACTGACAGTTGGCTAGGTTGTAAATCTGGATGTCTTCAAGAAGAAACTACACTTACACAAAAAAGAAATTCCCAGTGGCCTTGGATAGGAATAGTAAGAAAGATGTTTGTCATATTTTGTCTATTATTTGAAAAAGATTATATAACCTGTATTAGTAAAAGCTACGTGATTATATTTCTTTAATACAAAATCATTTAAAAATTGTGGCTAATTTCAAGTTTCTATAAATATGTCATTAAAACCTGATAGAAACATAAATTAAGGCCCATTCTTTCTCTATGTAGAAAATAATAAATTCTTGTTTCCAGGGTAATACTATACACATAACAGGCCCCTGGTTAGAGTCAACAGCAAAGAAGGGAAAGATAATTTACACATACTGTAAAAAGGGCACACATTCGTTCTATCTTCTCCGGGTTCCTTGGCCCGCCATTCTTGTTGAGTCTCACCAGAAACCGCTCACTGAAACACAGAAAGAGAGACAGAAATGTAAGGAATTATATGCTCCAGAATAAATAAAAGGGCATATGCAGAGAAACCCTAAATACTTAGAGAGCAGCTTGCAGTGACAGGCAAGGCCGAAAACACATGGCAGGACACTTTTTGCTTTGTACCATCCAACATAAAATGAACACTTTAAAATTGCCTTATAGGTGCTGTTTACTTGTTGGTTGTGGCTGTGTGTGTCTTACCTTTTGGAAAATGTGTGCTGCTTTCTGAAGGCAGCAAAGGGGACTATGACTATGTCCTTTATTTTTCCCAAATATCCACTAAGTGCCTGGTATGATGTTAAATTTATAACAAGTATATATGTATATCCTTTGATGTGAGTGCTCAGAGTATCATAAAAATATTTAACATACTAGATCCAAAGAATCATCATGACCCAATTTACATCATTCAGTATAACTCTTGAGAATCATTTTGGGGCTAAGAAAACAATGCTACAGGGGCTTATATAAAAATTTGGAGAAAATTCAAAGACAATGTATAACAGCTAAAGCATCAATCAAAATTCAAACAATACAGGTGTTTGTAACATTTGGAGAAATAGGGCCCAGCGCGGTGGCGCAGTGGTTAAGGTCCTCGCCTTGCACGCCCGGGATCCCATATGGGCACCAGTTCTAATCCTGGCGGCCCCACTTCCCATCCAGCTCCCTGCCTGTGGCCCGGGAAAGCAGTCGAGGACGGCCCAAAGCTTTGGGACCCTGCACCCACAGGATGCAGGGAGACCCGGAAGAGTCTCCTGGCTTCGGATCAGCATAGCATCGGGCCGTTGCGCTCCCTTGAGGAGTGAATCATCGGATGGAAGATCTTCCTCTCTGTCTCTCCTCTCTGTATATCTGACTCTGTAATAAAAAAATAAAATGAATCTTTAAAAAAAAAAAACATTTGGAGAAATATTTCCTTGCACCCCCGCCTTCCTACTCTCATACCTATCTCTTCAGCCTAAGATTTCAATTATCAATCATAAAAACTGTATATAATTTTTTCTAAAAATAATTTAAAATTATAATTATTATTTTCCATGATCAAGTTTTGTAGGTAAAGGGATTCCCCCTTCCCCTCTTCCTTACTCATTTTCCCTCCCACCATTTTCCCCCACATTATTACAGTTGCAAGTTTAACATTCTGCTATTTAAGAGTATCATGGCATTATAGGTATAGGCAATGGCAGAAAATCTAGTATCTAATTGCCTAGATATATTTAACAGTTAATTAGGAGTTTTCCTCTTATTCTGGAGTAGAGATGCATATTACAATGTCTCTAAACTTTCTGTTACACTAGTATCTATTATACAGTTCACCTATGAAAATATACATATATACATATACATATATATGTATATGCATATGTATACACACATATATATACATTACACTGGAGTTACAAACTATAATACCAACTGCACTATTTAGTAGTTTGTCCTATATTCGTTTGTTTCATTAGCCAACAAAGAATTATCAAATCCCATATGCTACACATGGAAATGCAAATCTGAACAAGACACACACGAATACACAAGGTACTTTATCTTCATGGAGCTTAAGATATCTGGAGATTAATCTCAAAATATTTGGGCCAGTTATAAGTCTGAGATTCCTCAGATTTGAAAAGTAAATGGGATTAAGCAGAGAATGTGTATGGAATAAAAAAAAAAAAGCAATTTGGTCTGAGACTTGAGGGGACACTGATATTTAAGAAACAGGCAAAAGTAGAACTAGCAGAGTAGATACATATGGACAAAGAAAACACAGAAATAAAATAAAGACTTGGAAATACTGTTTTAGTCAATGTAAGAGAGGTCTAAAAGAAGAGAGATCAGCCAACAAAGTCCAGAGTCATTCAAAGTCACATGAGACAAAGATAAAACATAAGCAGCTGAGTAGGCTGCTATCTGGAGCTGCTCATAGAGACAGGTACAATTTGGAAGGGTTACACTAAGCCCTGAGTCAAAAATAAAGGAGTGGATGAGGCACATGCCTAGGTGAACTGCACTGCTAGCTCTTTACGACCCAACGAACTTCTCTCTCTCCTTAACAGTGGAAGTAGTCACCAAAGGTTAGTTTTCATCTTGCCTTTCTGATAATTTGTGAAGCTCAAAATAATCATGGGTTTAGGACATACTACTAATTTCCTGTTTTTCTAGCATCTTCAATGAGTGTAATAAATAAATACTATTTTCTACTAGTATTTAAATCATTTGAAGACAAATATCTAATGTTCTTATGATATGACAAATTTGTTCTTCAAAAGGAATGTTCCAGTTTTGTTGAGAGACACTGCATTACACACAGTTAGATAGGCCCTATCAACCCATTTTATGGGTCTGTAGGATCACACTTTAACAAATGCCAGCCTGTTTGCCAACTACAGCTACAGCAACTACTCATATTCCTGAAGGAAACCATACTCCAAAGAGCCAAAGAAATATATTAATGAGAACTTACAAACACCTGTGTTTCTATATGAGAGCAAAAGGATACTCCCTAAAGTTATACGGGTAAGAAACTCTGCTACTCACTAATCTATTTCAAGAGAAAAAAAGGCTGCCAATACCCTTACTTTTTAGTAGACATATTTTAAGTGAACTACTCCATATTTAGTTGTCTTTATAATGATGAGATATGAACATATGGTACATGAAGTTAACTTCATATTACTGAGCAAGTACTTACAAATAAATTCCCTAATTTGAATTTGTGGCAAGTTTAATGGTATTTTCATTTTAAGGTCACTTGCTGTTAGAGAGCTGTAATTCTGGGGAAACACCACATTTAAAAAGCCTCTTCATGACTGGCATTCCTTCAGTAAATGTTTGGTGACTGCCAATGAGCTGCCAGCCTACGTTAGGTACTGAGGCATAGGCAGTCTCATTCCTTAGGGAGGTTATTTTCCAGAAATACAGGAATGTTTCAGGAATATAAACAGTGTCCCAAAATAAATTCAGAACTTTCCAACTCTCTCAAGTTAATATTTATGCTTCTCATTTGTTCCTCTGTGGAAATGGATGCCATCTCTCTCATGCTTATCTTTCAGGTACTTGAAAACAAAAGAGCTGTCCCATGGCTGCACTACACTGTACAACTCAACAGATTAAAACATCACCAATATTCCCTCACAGGTTAGTTTTTCCAATATAGATGCTTTAGCTCTATTTTTTCAAGTTCTTCAAATTCTTTTACTCATTTCAAGCACAAATGGGTTTCATAAAGTTGAACTAGGGTCCACTGTAGTTGTTTCTAAATTCACTTTAGTATCAGCTTTCTTCCCCCTTTCAGCAAAATCTTACATTGCTCATCAACATATGAAAATTAAAAAACAGAATTACTTTGGTTAAATCAGAAATGGGGACCCAGAGAATGGTGGTAGGATGCAGGACTCATCCTTACTTAGATCTCTGCATTAACCACCTTCAGTCCTTGAGACACTTCAGTGTATAATTCAAAGGCTTTTTTTCTTTCTCCCTAGTTTTTTAAAAGCAAATACTCATTAACTCTTATAATTTTACAGAAACAAATACATCCTGAGGATACAGAAATGCAATGATTATAAAGCCAAAAATTGTAACACAACGTAAAAACTATAATTGCACAGTAAGGGGCAGATAAACTACTGCATTGTGGGCAGGCTTCCTGAAAGATGTATAATAAAAGGTTCTTAAAAGATTGCAAGGCTTTTGCCATTTTGTCAAGGGTATTTAGGGGTGTAGAGAATGAGATTCCAGGAAGACAGAATGCCAGTGATTCATGATTTATGATCTAGTTTGTTGCAAGGTTGAATAAGTATGATTTTAGAAGGCACTGGAGTAGTTCTTAGATATGTCAGACAACATAGTGTGGACTGGGAAGATTCTCAAACTTAGCTGTCATCAGAAGTACACAGAAGTTTTTTTTAAGTTATAGATTCCTGGGCCCGGCATGGTGGCGCAGTGGTTATGGTCCTCACCTTGCACGCCTGGGATCCCATATGGGCACCAGTTCTAATCCCAGCAGCCCCGCTTCCCACCCAGCTCCCTGCTTGTGGCCCAGGAAAGCAGTCGAGGACAGCCCAAAGCTTTAGGACACTGCACCCGCGTGGGAGACCCGGAAGAGGCTCCTGGCTTCGGATCGGCATAGTATCGACCGTTGCGCTCACTGGGGGAGTGAATCATCGGATGGAAGATCTTCCTCTTTGTCTCTCCTCTCTGTATATCTGCCTTTCCAATAAAAATAAAATAAATCTTTAAAAAATTATAGATTCCTGGGGTCTCTCTCAGATACTTTGTACTTTTATTCCTCAATCATTGTTAGGTGTAACAAGAAGTTTGCAAAATCCCACTGTGGCCCTCAGAGAGGTCCTGAAGAAGTGTCAGCACTCAGAAGGAGCAAGATTACAACTGCCACTTGAGCTGCAGTGTAGAAGTCAGGCTGATAATATGCTACAGAGATAATTGAAATACCCAGGGAAAGCCATGATGTTGTTTTGGAACTGAAGAGGAGTGAAAGAATGTTGTATCATATATTTAGAAGACAGAAATGACTATATTTAGTGGTTTACTGGATATAGTAGGGTCAGTCAGAGAAGATACGAAGTACAGCAATGAATGCTGATTTTGAGGTCTCTGAGGAATAGGCAGGTAACTGGAAAACAAGCCACCAGAAACCAAAGACTAAAGCTCTGAAGAAAGATCTGGAAGTGAGATACAGCTCTTGCCTTTATCAGTTTCCTATAGCAGCAGCAACCGGAGTTTATCAGTTTACCTTGTTTATCAGTTATTACTTTACATGCACACACACAAATACACAAAAATTGCATGTAATTCTCACAACAAGCATGGACATGAAAGATCCCCCGCCCCTTTTTAAGAATTTTTTTTAAGGTCAATTTATTTATTTATTTATTTATTTTACTGGAAAGTCAGCTATACAGAAGGGAGAAGAGACAGAGAGGAAAATCTTCCATCTGATGATTCACTCTCCAAGTGGCCGCAATGGCCAGAGCTGAATCAATCTGAAGTCACGATCAAGGAGGTTCTTCCTGCTCTCCCACGTGGGTGCAGGGTCTTAAATCTTTGGCTCATCCTCTATTGCCTTCCCAGGCCACAAGCTGGGTGCTGGAAGAGAAGTGGAACACCTGCAATACAAACCAGCGCCCATATGGGATCCCGTAGCATGTGAGATGAGAACTTTAGCAACTAGGTTACTGTGCTGCTCCCACTTTCCCTTTTTTTTTTTAACTGCTTTTATTTCCTTAATGTTTTTGTTATTTTTATCAGAGATCCCTCACATGCGTGGTTAAATTTAACTCAAGATATTTAAATTTTCTGTAGATTTAAAAACTCTGAGATCTAAATACTCTTAGATTTTTTCTTTGTAGATTTTAAAATTTATTTTTATTTATGTAAGCAAATAATTTTTCGCAATACTGATATTTAGGAGCATAGTAACACCCCTACCCTACCCTCTTGGCCGCATCACCTGCCACCTTCCACCTTCTTTTTTTAAAAATTTATTTCTTCTTATTATTATCATTTTATGATACAGTTCCATAGATCATGGGATTTCCCATGTGCCACTACTAGAGTTCTTTCACTGCTGGATGTCAGGTCTGAGGACTACCTGGCAGACATGTCTAGGGTGGAACCTGTAGGATGCCACATTGTTGCAGTTTGCAGAGCCAGAAATGAGTTCACTGCCAGCTCAGTGCATGGACAGACAGTCCTGTCCCATAGCCCTTGCATGCTTCAACATTAATGGTGCCTGATATGGCTCAAGGAGGTGGACTAGGTTATACTGGTTATAGCTGTATTTCTGTTCTCTCTCCTCTTGTCCCACTGAGTATTTGTAGTTTTTTTCACTTCTTTGTCAAAAACTTCTATCAGGCTCCTGGAAATATGGTCATTCCTTTTTTTTTTCCTTCTTCTTTTCATATCCCAGAGCAGTTGACATTGTGTCATTTTACCATTGGTTCTCTTTTTGTATTTAGCTTTAAAACCACTTTTGCATTAATTCTATTTGTTATATTTTGGTTTATATAAAAAATGTACTGATGAAAAAGCTTATTAAGGCAATAGGATTATGACCAGTTTCACCAACGAATCCATTTAATGGTTTCCTCATCTATAAGAAACAGAATTTGAGCTTTTTTCTATGTGTTTGTTGTGTGAGAGAGGAGGAGGAAGGCACAATGGAGGGAGGGAGAAGGAGACTGGGACAGACATACATAGAGAAACAGAGAGAATGAGAATTTTTAGACCTTTTTAAGTTAGGTGGAATACATGAATTCTGACAATGACAGACTACAAAGCAGGGAAAGAAAGTAAAGTTCATCACCAGAGGCAGGGAATTTTCCTCCTCTCAGAACATCATTGTGGGAACATTTGGTAGTGAGCTGGAGTCTGTCTCAGACTAGGTCAGTTTAGGCTACACTATACCATAAGGCCTTGAACAGAAGGACCAAAACTGAACTGCAGAACTATTATGGATGGCGTGAACTCATGCAGATAAGCTCCTTTTGCATTGTAAGAGATGTCCTGTTTTGCAAAGGGAAACAGGAACTTAATAAACAAAGTGCTCATCCTTCATTTTAAAAGAAAATTTCTCTCAAAGGGCTTCCTGAAATTTTTCACAGAAGCAGATTATCTCATTTGGGTACACTGCTTGACACTCAGGCAGAACCCTCAACCATCAATTACAGAAGCAGCTGATTCTCAAGAAAAGTTTATTCCACACAAGGGTATTTTTATTGCTGTGTGAATAAAAATGGAACTTTAGAGATTGCTTTGCACAGCATCTATACAATGTGACTATCATAAGTGTTTTCACATGATCACTGAGGAAAGGTACATTTTTCAAGGCAAATTTGTATGTTCAAAATTGGGAACAAAAGAGAATCCTTAATAAGAATGAGCTGAATGATGATATTAATCATGTTAAGCTTTAAGCATCTTGGCTAATTTCACAGAGCTCCAGCAATAGAATCAGGAGTATTAACAGGCACACCAGTGGCACACAGAAAATAAGGTAGTTACACTTTTATTTATTTACAATGGAACACTTGATGAATTTGTGTGTCATCGTTGTGCAGGGGCCATGCTAATCTCTGTATCATTCCAATTTCAGTATAAGCTGTAAAAGTGAGCATGGCAGTCACACTTTAAAAAAATTTATTTATTTGAAAGGCAGAATGTTGGAGAGGGGAGGAGCGAGGGAGAGAGACACAGAGAGACAGAGAGAGAAAGAGAAAGAGGACAGGGAGAAAGAAAGGAGAGAACAGGGAAAGAAGAACAGGATCAGGTAAGGAGAAAGTTTACCAAGTTCCCCTGCTTGATCCACTCCCAGACCCAGATCTCACACATGCCAGTGGGTGCCAGGCCCTTACCCGGCATGGCTTGCCCCTGTCCTGGCCTTTGTATGAGCTGGTGGATGTTGCGCCCCAGCCCACTCTGCCTCACACCCTTTTTAAGGGTGTGCATGTGGGTGCTGCAGCCTGGACCAGCCCCTCCTATTTCCAGCCCCAGTACCTTTGAGTGTGGGTGAGTTGCACGGTCATGCCAGCTCAGCCCATCACCATCCCAACTCTTAAGTCAAACAGCAGGATTCGCAATTGCATAGGGTTGGACCCATATATCCTCCACAGAATCCACCCCCAAACCTCTTTCTCTCATGCACTGTTTGTTGTCATGGCTCAGCCTAATGTGAACTGTCCCCTGATCTGACACTCACTAACAGTTACTGGAATCTAGTCCTGACAGACCGGTCCCCAGCCCGAGTTTACGTATGGCCTGGGATGTTGCGGTCTTAATGACCCATCTTACCTTCTTTCTTTCTTTCTTTTTTTTTTTTTAAGATTTTTAAGTTTTTTTTTTTTTTTTTGGAAAGTTAGATATACAGAAGAGCAGAGACAGAGAGAAAGATCCTTTGTCCGATGATTCACTTCCTAAGTGGCTGCAATGGCAGGAACTGCGCCAATGTGAAGCCAGGAGCCCACAGCCTCTTCCAGGTCTCCCATGCGTATGCTGTGATCCAAAGCTTTGGGCTGTCCTTCACTGCTTTCCCATGCCATAAGCAGAGAGCTGAATGGGAAGCAGGGCTGCCGGGATTCTAACAAGCATCCACATGGGATTCCAGCACATACAAGGCAAGCTTTAGTTGCTAGGCTACTACACCACGCACGATCCTCTCTTTTTATTTACTTCTACTTTGAGATCCAGCTAGAATGCCAGAATTGCTTTCCTTCATTCCAACCTACATGAGAATATCACAGCACCATGCATAGTTTTCATAATAGTATTTATCACAATTTTTACATTATATATTCACTTATGTGACCACATATTTAATATTGGTGGGGCTGCCCTTAGAAAGGATACTATCAGTTTCTTTCTCTCTGTGGATGCTCCCTCTCACATGCAACAACTCAGGGCTTCCCACCACCTGAGGCTGGGTATCAGCTACATTTGCTTTGTTATTTGCATATGTCTTTATTCTGGCGTTGAATACACCCATCCTTTTCTCTTCCTGAATGGCAACAGCTAAAACGCTACTTTCAGTTTTCATATGGAAAATAGGTATGGGTTTGGGGGGAGAGGTTACAGATGACTTCACAATACAATGGGAATTGAGGCCAAAATCCCAGGTAATTCATATCTCTTAACATATTTCAACCTTATCAGAGCTTCAAGTAACCCTTACCTGATCTGCTTGCCTTCTCTCATGTCATACAATGAGAAGAAGACATCAGTATCTTCTCCAATGGTATTGTAGGTGAAACTCTTCAGGTTAAAGAAGAAGTGGTGTGGCACCGGCATCCGACAGGTCTCTCCATGACGTGGGCGCATTGTATCTACCTAATGAGCAATGTAAAAAAGTTTCTATTTTATTTCTTATGATGATCACCAAAAATTAAAATAAATTACTAACTCTCCTCATGTTGTCAGAGGATTATTTAAGAGGGAAACTGAAGACATTTTTTCCACATTGATAGACTTGGACTGTGGTAGTCAAGCAAGCAGCTGAGAGGGGGAAACTGTGAAGGAGATATGGAGATAGCAATTCTAGCTTAGACACAAATGCAAAATCTCCATCAAGTCACAAACATCTGCATTCTACATGGGATCATCTTCTAAGCCTTTATTAGAGGTTGTGTTATGGATTTGGTTTACACTGCTAGAAGAATAATTGTATTCTAAATAATATTTTCATTTTATCCCAGACATATTCATTTTAGTCTCTTGATTTTAACAGGGCTATAAAGGAGTGCACAGAGGAACGGAGACTAGCCAGATCTCCTTGGGGAATCAAGGTTCCCTGGAGGAAAGACATCATATAACCAAGAAGTCAATGATGCCTATAATTTCCCAGGACATTCATATGAAAAAAAAGGTCCAAATAAGATGCTGACCTGGGATGTGCTCTGTTGTACACTCTGCCGGCTAGACAAATGCTGTGGAAAGAAAAAAAGGAAGAATAGTTCACTCTGTGGAAAGGAACAGATGTTTATTAAGTATTCTCTATAGGCTAGGTAGTCTATAATGTATTTTATATGTATGACTTCATTTAATTCCTATACTTTTGTTGGACAACTGTTATTCATATTAGAAGAAGGCACCTAAGTCTTACAGTAAGGAAGTAATTTGCTGAATGGCACAAACAGGAAGATGGTGAATCCTGAATTCAAGTCCCAGCCTCTCTTTGAGTATTTCCAGTAGCTTTGAGTAATAAGACTCAAAGGTGAAAATTTGGCATAATTTTTTTTTTGTTCTAGTACTATCCTTTCCACATACTGTATTACTTTCTAGGCTGCCTGATTCAAATTCTTCAGGCTTTCCATACTAAACACTTTTTCACAAAAATGGCTCCCTTCCAAGCAGCTTTCCAAGAGGCTGTTCCTTTGCTACTGGCTGAAGTTAGAAGAAGCAGATTCCAATTCCAGTTATGTCACCCATAGGCTGTGAAACTTAGACAAATCAGTTCATATCTCCTAAAAACATTTCCTTAAACCTTGAAATTGATATAACAGACTACCTTATCTTCCTTACAGGAGTGTTGTGAGGTTTAAATTACAGATTTGGAATTAACATGATATAGCAGATATGGACAGAGACAAGCAAAAATACAGCATTTTGAAACCTTTCACATGGCACTATGAGGAAGAATCATTGCTCTGTTAGGCACCCTTAAGCTGTCTCATCAGTACCACCTTATTCAGACCATCATCCCTAGTATTAGGGCTGCATATACTGTGCCTTGCTACCTAAACCTTTTGCATTCCCAGGGACCAAGTATTGTCTTACTTATGTCATATATATAGTGACATACATCAAAAACATAAATTAGTTATGGGGAAGAGAGAGGAGTTTGAACAGTAGGTGGCAAGCTGGAGTTAGACTAAAAGTTTTCAGATGCTTCTATTTGTTCCTACAATTTGTAACTCTAAGCTTCAAAACAAAGTAATATCAGAGAAACAGAAATGCTTATTATCCTGTTCTAAACAGTGCACATTATACACATGCATTGAAATTTCACACTTTAACCCATAAATATGTACAAACATTTTTCATAAAATTGAAAAATATAAAAAATTACAAAAGGCACAGACTGTATTATGGCATATGCCAGTGGGTGCTCGTTCAAGTCCTGGCTGCTCCACTTCCAATCCAACTCCCTGCTAATGCATCTGGAAAAGCAACAGTTGATGGCCTAACTTTTTGGGCTCCTATATCCATATAGGAGACTTGAATGGAGATCCAAGTTCTTGGCTTTGGTCTGGGTCAGCCCTGGCCACCCAACCTTTAGGGAAATAACATGGCAGAAGAATACCTATTCCCTATCCCTTCTTTATATCTCTGTAAGTCCTCCTTTTAAACAAATAAATGTTAAAAAAATTAATTTCCTGCTATATATGTTGCAAAATATCAATACAGTTGGACTCTGAGCAAATATTCTCATCAATCAACTCATTCCTAACGTGTTAAGTGTAAACATTGTACTAGTCAAATGTTAGTTAGCACTAGAAAACAACTGACATAAACAGTTTCCCCAATACACAAGATAATGGGGAAAGATGACATTGAAGCAAGTTATTATAGAGTAAATATGTTTTAGATTTAGCCATAATTTTGAAATTCATATTATAAAAGAAACAAATTAAAGTCAACACATGGCTGGTTTTCTGGCACAGTTGTTTAAGCTGCACTTGGGATGTCTGTATCTCATAGATCAGAATGCTGATTCAAGTCCCTGTTATTTTTCTTCCAATCCAGCTCCCTGCTAATGTGTCTGGGAAACAGCAGATGATGGCTCAAGAGTTTAGCTCCTTGTCAACCACACTGGAGATACAGATGGAGTTCTGGCTCCTGGCTTCAGTCTGGCTCAAACACAGCTATTTTGGTTATTTGGGGAATGAACTAGCAGAGAGATCTGCCTGCCTTTCTCTTTCTCTCTCTTTGTGTTTCAAACAGACAAATAAATCTTGAAAAGAATCAGCACAGATACCTCTTTACTGTCCACTGAGATGTTTTATATTTTGGGCAGTGTGAATTTTCTACTGTTGAAAATGGATTTAGACTGGTTATTTCAGAAGTAAAAACAGAAATACTAAAGGCTTTCTTATTTTTTTTTACCGTATTTTTATTTTTAAAATCCTACTATGTATTTAAAGAGATTTACAGAGAGAAGTAGAGAGGGAAAAGAACTTCCATCCGTGGTTCATTCTCCAAATGGCCGCAATGGCTTCAGCTGAGATGATCCAAAACTAGGAGCCAGAAGCCAATTCCAGGTCTCCCACAAGGGTGCACCACCACACCAGGCCCATATTTAAAGAGATCTTTATGAATCATTATCACTCAACTCTTGCACTCAGGTTTGACCTTTTTGGTTTTTAAATGAAAACGAAAATGTCCTAAATACCAAGTTAAGGTTATGTGTCTAAAGGCTTTTTTTTTTTTTTTAAACAAAACGTACAACAAGGAGTATTATTCAGAAAGCTTCATGTTGGGTCCTTGTAATTTCCAGTAACAGACTCAAATACTAATGTAAAAAGTTTTAAAAAGATATTCCTTTTGACTTTGAATATTTAACCAAAATATTTCATGTATACTTCCATTTTACATTTTGCATGAATCTGTATTCATTTGAGAGGCAGAAAGACAGACAGATATATTCTATTACTGACTCACTCTTGAAATGGCTGCTAATACATAGGGCTGAGCTAGCAGGAAGCCAGAGTTCAAATTCCGTGCAGGACTCCCATGCAGGTGGCCAGGACTCAAAAACTTGAACTATTAATATGTCCCCTAGGATGTGCATTAGCAGAGACCTGGAAGTGGATATTGAGCCTCTAATCACAATTAGGTCCTCTGATAAGGATGTTGGCAATCTTCCAGTTGCTAAAACAAATATCTGCCCTTATTGTGCATTTTTCTTCTGTAACTTAACACAAAAATCTTACATGGTTTTCCATAAACTTAGACTCTCATAATCTTTCTTCATTATATCTAATCCTTTCTAATAAGGAAGTACACTGACTGAAAAGAAAATTCAGCAAAAAATGAGATAAAAAGGTTTGAGGTTTAAGCCTTTTACTAAATCAGTAATTTTAATAAAAACAAGTTTAGCAAAAGCATTTCAAGCACATATTAAAAAAGTTAAACAGTTCTAAAAGGCTTACAATAAGAAGTATTAGTTTTCTGTCCATCCTCATGGGATAAGTAGTTACAAACTTTTTTCCTAGAGTTTATAAAACATTTTTAAATGTCACATTTGCAATGGTTTAAGTTTAGAATTAGCAACTAGTTTTTATATTATTTCAACTAAGGATTTTGATGCCTGTTTCTTCTTTCCTTCACCTATCTTCCTAGTATCTCAAAACTTTTTATTGAAACTATTATTGATTACGATGAAATTTTCAAATACTACTCACTCCTGAGTCAAGTCCCAACTTCAATGCCATTTCTTCTCCTATTTTTGTCTGGAAAATACTTTCTTTAAATTACAGTCACCCTCTGGTATTTTCTGGGGCTGGTTCAAAGAACCAACCACAGATACCAAATTCTACGAAATCTCGAATCCTTTATACAAAGTAGTATTTATACATTTTCTATAGACATTCTTTAACTCCTTCTCTGAATTATTTATAATACATACTACAATGTAAATTCAATGTAAATAGGTGTCACATCATACTGCTTAAAAATAATAACCAGAATTTTTTCCAAATATTTTGGATGTGTGGTTGGTTCAATCTGCAGATACAGAATCTGAATACATAGGGCTGAATAAATAGGCTCTTTCTCCTATGGCCACTAACAGTTCTATAAAATATCTTTCATTAGCACTTTTCAAATGGTAAAAACTGTGAAATTAATTAAAAATTTATTTTTTTTTATTGGACAGGCAGATTTACAGAGAGAAGGAGAAACAAAGATCTTACATCTGCTGGCCAAACGGTCATAACAATAAGAATTGAGCCAATCTTAAGAAGGAGCCAGGAGCTGCTTCTAGACCTCCCATATGGGTGCAGGGTCCCAAGGAGTTGGGCTACCCTTTGTTGCCCTCTCAGACAATAGGCAGAGAGCTGGCTAGGAAATGGAGCAGCCGGGACATGAATTAGCATCCATACGGGATGCTGGTAGTTGCAGGCAGAGGATTAGCTAATTGAGCCATTCTCCTGCCCAAATATATTAAGTTTTTTAAACTTCTACTGGTTTCCATGGTACAGTTTTGCAACTAGGTGTAGGTATTCATCCTTCCCTCTCCCCACTTTCCTCTGCTGTCTTTCCCCTGTATCATGAAAATAACATAGTCCCTTAAAAACTTGTCAAGTATTTTATGAAGATGTTTTTCTCCTGGAGAAATCTCTTCCTAGCCACCATCTTCCTTTTTGCTTTAATCTGAATATCCCCATTTTTATTGCATTTTTCTGCATTTTCTAGTGTTTCCAACCTACTATTAACTGCCTGGATCACTATTGTGGTCTCCTTCACAGATTTCAGCCTCCTTCATTTCACTTTCCATAAAATTAACATGAGAAACCTGTATCTGTTAGTGTCACGTTTAAGATTGTATCCAACGACTGGATAGAGTCCAATTTGCGGCATATAAAGCTCTTCATGATTTGGCTCTCATCTTCTTGATCTAACCTTCTATTCACTAACATCTACCTACATATCAAAGTTACCAAATATTTTGCAGCTTCCTGGAACTCCAAATTTCCCATGAGGTATATAATTTTAGAATTTTTCCCCACTCCCAAAAAATTAGGTCATTACTACTAATAGCATCACTGCATATTTTAATTACATTATGAAGTGCACATATGGCAATCATTTATTTGCAGTCTACTGATTCCAGTAGTTTCTAACATGGGATTCATCCATGAGCCTTAGTGTAAGTATATGGAAAGATTGTCTGTCTTTAAAACTTGTTATAAAATTCTGGATGCAAATTATACTTGTACCGTATAGAAGGAAATATCCAATACCTGGGTTATGAAGTTTCTGAGAGAAAGGATAAGTCTTGTATCACTATTCTTTATGTCTAAACATCTATTATGCATAACTAATACTATGTACATAAGCAGATATACAAAAGTAGCTGATAATATAATGCATAAATCATTTAGGCAAACTTCCTTAGGTCCACAGCCAGGCAATATGCTTGATACCGTATGTTCCATAAAATATTACATTTTCTTAAAGAGCTCATAGAACTTGTAATTCGCACCAAGATGTGTTCATTAAATATATATATTCCTCAAAGTTCAGTTTTACCTATTAGCCCAAGCTTAACCGTTATTTCAAGTTTCTGTTATTTGCTTTACAAGTTCATTTACTTCTGAAGAATGTAATCCTGGTCATTGGTCAAGCCAACAGATTTTTTAAACTACCAACATCCCAAGGATGTATTGGGCCCTGTTTCTCTAGAAAGACTGGTACAGTATTTGTAGGGTCAATTACTGCTTTAACCAACAACTCCTAGTGTCAACCACCTTCTCTTTCTAAGAGATTGGCGGGGGAGGAAAATAACACATGACATTAGCCATTTCTGCAGGCTAGTGGAGCTCTTTTCACCAACAAAATCAACAGAAAAGTAATCCCTGGACAGAACAGTGACCCACCACAGTGTTTCCATTTTAAGAGTCAGTGAATACGTAATGTAAGAATAACAAAGACTCATTAAATATGAAGGAGGAGAGGAAAGGGAACATTTTTAGGAAAACTGTTTCATAACATACGTAGGGCAAATACACATAGGAGAAAAAAATGAGGAACATGTGAACAAGCTACTCTACATTAGTTTACTTACCATCTTATAGAGATCTGAGACGCTAATTTGATCTGAATCCACTACTTCAAAATCCTTCCGGGGCACCAGGTCCAGACCCAAATGTCTAGTAAAGAGAAAGACCACACTCAGCATACAATGCCCTCAGACAGTAGATCTTTGTTAATGTGTTCGAGAGCCTATACCTTCTAGATACTATGGACAGAAGTTCAGACCCTGCATTAGCAGAAACATGCCTTTATCTAGCAACACCTAATTTTATTCAGTTTTACATAAATATGGTAAGAGATTTTTGAGTGACACAATTCCAGTCATGAACCAGTTGTACTTGTGATGATAAAAGGGTTTTGTTCAATACTTTTTTTAAAAGGGTCTTTAAGTGTGGATTTTTTTTAATATCCTTAAAAAGTCACGTTTACTTTTCTCTTTCACTACATTCTACAAGTATGCTCGCTGTTCAGTAGTGACTACATTTATTGCTACAAAAAAAATTATTCAGGGCAATCAGGTCAATTAATAGTTCACAGCCAATACATAGAAATCAGTGAAAAAGATACTAAACTCAAAGAGATGTATGTTTTAGTTCAATTTCAGTTTAACTAACTGATATTAACAAAGACCTGATCAAAAATTGGTACCAACATCTTTCTCTTAAAGATTTATTTTATTTTTATTGGGAAGTCAGATATAAAGAGAGGAGGAAAGACAGAAAGGAAGATCTTCTGATGATTCACTCCCCAAGAGGCCACAATGGCTAGAACTGTGCCAATCTGAAGCCAGGAGCCCAGAGCCTTTTCTTGGTCTCCCATGTGGGTGCAGGGTCCGAAGGTTTGGGCCATCCTCGACTGCATTCCCAGGCCACAAGGTGATACAAATATTAACATATATAAACATTTATTTTTATTGGAAAGGCAGATTTATAGAGATAAAAACAGAGAGAAAGTTCTTCTATCTGCTGGTTCAGTCCCAAATGGGCACAATGCTGAGCTGAACTGATCTGAAGCCAGGAGCCAGGAGCCTCCCCTGGGTCATCCCTGTGGGTGCATGGTCCCAAGGATTTATGCCATTCTCTATTGCTTTCCCAGGCCACAAGAGGGAGATGGATGGAACGTGAAACAACTGAGACATAGACTAGAACCAATATGGGATCCAGGCACTTGGATCTGGGAGGATTAACCAAAGAGCCATAGTGCTGGGCCTAAAACATTAATAAATACTAGTATTTTTACAATCTTTTCACTGCTGTTCCATATTTACACAAAAATTTTAAATATTTGAGATTGTTCATGTAATATTATCTTTATAATGTAAATTTCTTTGTATTGGAAGAAGGGGTAAAGAGGATTTCTGCAACTCTCTCTTGCTGTCACTAAATGCTGCATACTTTGTAGGCATTCCCTCAGTGTTAGAAGCCAAAGGCTGGAATTGTTTCGGAGCAGTTAAGAATTGTTAACAGAAAATCATAATACACACTCTTTGTGTAATATAAAAAGGCAGGGTACCAATGATAGAAAAATAAAGTATCTTATAGATTTAAATGCATTTATTTCAACAAATAGACTGAATAGCATAATTTTAATTAAAATGTAAACTATCGTGGGTAAGGCTGTTAGTATATTGCTGATCTTATGTAAACTCAGACTTTTTATTTAAACATCTAAAATATCTAAATATGCAACAACATTGGAAAGATCACAAAAATAGTATTAATATTTACTAATATTTGTACCAGGAAACTCAAATTATAAAATTAACATTTAAAACACTTTCCATTTTTTATCACCATGCCATTTACACTTTTATTTAGAAGACAGTATTTTACATACATTATTTAATCACTAAAAGTCCAAAAATATACACTCATTCTTTGCTACCTGTGGAGGATTAGCTCCAGGACTGCCCATGAAAACCAGATCTGTAGAAAATCAAGTTCTTTACATAAGAAATGGTATAGTGTGTGCATACGACTAATGCACATTCTCATGTAGACATCAGATTATCTCTAGATGACTTAAAATAATACAATGCAGTTGTTTGAATCTGAAGAAACAAAACCCATAAATACAGAGTGCTGACTGTGTATGAAACAGTGTAAATTTTACAACTAGGAAACAAGAAAAAAGGACTGAGCAAACATTTATCCCCCTAAAACCTATTTTAGATAAAACAACTCAAGAAAAATCCAGACGGCATCTAAGTCAATAGGACCAGAACTGAGTCAGAATGTGTGCTCTGTGGTCGTTTAGCATACTCGGGGATGCGCCTTTTGGAGCCTGTCATGTCAAGACAGTCTAGCATCATGGTACCTTTGGCTTCCTTGTCCAGTTGATGACCCAACCATAAACCAACCGCACATTCTACATATTCTGAGGTTCTATCATGTATCAGATCAACAATGTTAGATGCCAGGAATATAGTACACCATTTTGTCAAGCAAATGCTCTTATCATGTTCATTCTCCCTCTGAGAGTATAGTGTGTGGTGGGACAATAATATGGAAGTACTGAGGTATAAAATGAGAATGGAGTTGGTTAGTACTGCTTATCTTTTATGTAGAACAGTCATTTTTGCATATTCTAATATTATAAAACACTTTTTATATTATACCATCTCTTTTTTCAAAACAAGAAAAGCAGTTTAAACAGAGTAAAGCAAGAACTAGAACATAGTTTCATGGCTTGGGATAGCAGAACTTTTCCCTTTCATAATAAAAGATCTACAAAATTCTTGTTCAGGTTTTTAATGACTACATCCTCCATTGGTGAAAGTAAAATACAGGGGAGGAAAGAGGAAGAAGGGTGGAGAGAAAGAAGGACAAAGAGAAGAAAGGTTGGAGTGGGGATACAATCTAGCAAAAGAGAGGAACAGGGAATAAGGGAGGGAGAAAAAAAGATGTGTTTCTGATTTTGGTTTATTAAAATGGATATATATATATATAAAATAAATATATATATATATATAAATATATATATAAAAATAAATACCCCCCACACGGAAGTTTGTTGTTTTTATTGCCATTATTATTGCTACTTTTGACAGTGAATAAGTTTTATTGAACCTTTAGCTTATAACCTGAAGTAAATGGAGAAATAGTTCTCCTTAACCAATGTTTTACATAGTTGTAATAAAATACTTCAAACTTCATGAATTTATAAGGGATTGCATTTCTCAAAAACTAGGGTCAAGTAAACAGGTCTTAACTCTTAATTTTCCAGTTTAGTTTTCCCTTGCAATAATGACAAATTCCAAGTTACATAAGTTTCTTCAAAGTTTTACCATTGTTGCTGATACCTTTAGTTCTGAAGCACTGATATTTCAATCAATATTCACTAATTCTCAGTTTTGCACTTGTTGGAATTTTGTCATCAGGCTGTCCTTCCTTTCTGTAAGACTATTCTGGCTCATTCTCTAGTAGAATATTCTCTTCTTTTAATTATAGTTACAGTGATTCATCCCATATGCTGACAATTTTGCCTACCTCAATTTTAAAAATTAAAGGTTTGGAAATTTTCTTCTTTTTGGAACTTGTTTGATTATTAATATCAAAAATGATCCTGCATACCAGCAGTGAACAACATTCACTTTTGTTGAGAATGCTGGTTCTACCTCCATTTCTTAAGAACAGGTTTTGTATATTTTGGCAGACCCTCATCCAGATAACTTCATACCGGGTCTCTTGGGGTTTATCTTCATAAAACATACTTTTCATTTGCTTAGACACTTATATTTTCAGAGCCCTTGAAATGCCTACTTTACAAAAGGTAGCTATAGGCTGTAACCAAGTGATATTTGTTTATTGTTCTGGCTTCATCTTTAATGTTTCTTAATAATTTACATTCTGCAAGAAAGAATCTCAGCTGTGATCCTACACAAACCTGGTAATATCCTTCTCAGGCAGCTCCTTGCTGCCCTGTGGTCCATGCCTGCTACAGAACCACTACTGTCATTTCCCTTCACTGTTTCAGCTTTCCTTTGCTATCCTACCGCCTCCTGAAGCAGAAACGTAGGGTCCCAATTTGTAGATAATGCTTATTCATATTTACCGTGTATCTACAAGCTGTGAAGCACAATGAATTCGTATTTTTAAAAGAAACACCACAAGACAATTTTTAAAGTATATTCTTAGTGAGGTCTAAAACAGAGGAATTTGAGCTAGAACAGATATCAGAAAATAATCTATATAATTTATTTTTTAAGATGTTTATTTATTAATTTTATTTGAAAGAGCACAAGAGATACTTTTAATCCATTGGATCACTCTCTAAACGCCTACAAAAGTCAGGACTGGGCCAGGTTAAAGCTAGGAGCCAGAAACTCCTCTGGGTCTTCCACATGAATGGCAAGGACTCAAGTAATTGTTTCCCTCCCCCCAGGTGTAATAGGAAGTTGGACTGGAAGCAGAGCACAGACACGCCAACATGGGACCTGTGCATCCCATGTTAACAGTTTTTTCCACTACATCTCAATGTCTATCACAAACCCAACTCTTTCTTTCCAGAAGTGAAAATACAAGCTGAGTTTCAGTGACTAGAACAAGTAATATATTTTGCTAATTAGAAGAAATAATTGCTCCTAACAAACATAATGAAATCAGTGAATATAACATTGCCCTTTAATTATTAAAGAGTTTTGATCAAGTACAGGTTCTGTGAGGACTGAATTATAAATGACACTGAGATGCCCAAATAATATTCATACTTACTCATTACCCCAGTCCAGACGTACAGTGATGTGTCGTTTAACTTCCCGCACCTGATCCTGAGTCAGGTGACCAGATAGGAGCTGCCTTCGCAGATCAATAAGTTCATTCATCACATGGCGAAGTTTGTAGAAAAGATCTACTTTGTGTTTCTGAAAGAACATTTTTGGTGTTGGGTGAAATGCAAAAGGGATATGGGAAGGGAATGAAAAGAGAAAGAGAAACAATTAAACTATGAAAAGTACTGATTTCTCTGAACCACTAAAGCAATGTAAAGAGCTTATTATAAAATCTTAAAGTTCTTAGTTCCTATTGTGTAAAAAATCTCTAAATTGTGACATTGGGTAAAGAAGCAAAATTGATCAGGATCATGCAAAAGTATTACTTATATCTACCTTATCCTGGGTTACTCATTTTCTAGTAAATCAAAACTACTACACTGAAGAACAGAAGGTTACACATGAGCCTGGAGCTGTTTTCTCTTACAGAAGTCACAATGCACATAATAGCAAAGACTTCAACCTTCTGGCAACAGCACCGTTTTTTTCCAGAAAGAATACTTAAGTTAGGAGAGGGAGGGGCAGGGAGAATCATTTTTCCTATTCAGAACTAACTAAGGTTTCCATACAAAGCCAATCTCTGGAGTGAGATTCACTCCTGCTTTCTAGACCTCATTTTAGTTTCTAATTAGCTTTTCAAACTAGCCATATGTTTCTAGTGTCTCAGATTTCTAGTTTTTTTTATGTTTAATAAACTGTGCCACTTTAATAAGAGTTAAATGGAAACATCTTATGGATAACATAATGATTTTAACTTTATCTAAGGGTACCAAGTAGATGCTTCAGAAAAAAGATGTACTTAGGAATATAAATCTAAAAACTGAAGTCTCACTGTTCACTTACAAGTAAAAATCTTGGCTTTAGAATCTTTAAATTTCTAATTTAGGTATGTACAGTTTAGGTAAAAATTAAAAATCTTGAAACATACTAGTCTACAAAGAATATTTTGAGAGACAAATCAATCAATATAGACTGTTATTAAAATATCTATATGGGATTCATCATTAAAAAAAAAAAAACAGTTGGGGGAAGGCATTTGGCCTTGCAGCTAAGACTCCAGTTAAGACGCCTGCATCCTATACCACCATACTCAGGCTGGACTTCCAGTTCTACTCTCAGTTCCAGCTTCCTACTAATGCATACCATAGGAAGCAGCAGGAAATGGATCGTGTAGTTGGATCCCTGTCACCCACATAGGAAATCAGGAGTGATTTTCTGGATCCTGGCTTTGGTCTGATTCAGTCCTGGTCTTTGTGGGCATCTGGGCAATGGACCAGCATATTAACAGCTCATTCTGTCTGTCTGTCTTACTCCCATCCCCTTAAAGAAAAGAAAGAGAAGAAAAATTCTGCTAAAATAAGCTTGAATCAGATGATCATGAAATTGCAAAGCAGTATAGTCAGGTGTTTTTAGAAAACAAGACAGGGATGTTGGGGCTGGAACTGTGGCATAATGGGTTAATACTTCATCTGAATTGCTAGCATCCCATTAGGGTACTAGTTTATGTCCTGGCTGCTCCACTTTCCATCCAGCTCCCTGCTGATGGCCTGGAAAAGCAGCAGAGGATGGCCCAAATCCTTCAGCCACTGTACACACATGGGAGATTTAGGTAAAATTCCTGACTTGTGGCTCCAGACTGGCCCAGCTCTGGCCATACAGGCCATGTAGGGAGTGAACCAGTGGATGGACAATTTCTCTATCTTCTCTGTAATTGTGTTTTTTAAATAAAAAATACATAAATCTTTAAAGAGAGAGAGTAAGAACAGTGATGTCATTAAAATCATTATTTGAAACTTCAGCCTGCCTCAGTGTTCACTATTGAGGGCATTTGGGGAATGAAAATGAAAGATCTTTCTCAGTCTTTCTCTTTCTTTGCCATTCTGTATTTCAAATAGATAAAAATAACATTTTTAAAAAATGATAAATTTAGAGTGACATTTGGCATAGCAACAAGATGTCTCCTGGGATGCCCACAATCCTGTATGAGAGTGTCTGGGCTCAAGTCATGTTTCTGCTCCCATTTTTTATCTTATTGTTAATGTGCAACCTGAGCAATTGCACATGCTGGTTCAAGTAGTTGGGATTCAGTGGGTGATTTGGACTGAATTCTTGGTTCCTAAGCATTTTATGAGTGAGTCAGCAAATGAGAGACCTCAGGCTATAGATTTATCTGTCTCTGTCTCTCTTCCTCTTTTCTGCCTCTCAAAATATGAAGTTTTAGAGAAATAATTATTGTACAATATTTTGCAATTCATGTATATTTTTTTGTAATACACATTTTCTATTCAGAGTTTAAAAGATTTCTCAGACTTAGAACAATGAATCATTGGGCATTTAAAGATTCACCCTATTAAGAGAAAGTACTTTCAACTTAGAGGATCTCAGGAACCAAGAATTCTAATTACAACAAATAACCTATTATCTCTAATTTAGTTGGCGAATAGATGAGGAAAGTTAATAAGCACCTTAGTAGCACATAACGATTAAAAAAGGAAGAATTCGTAGATTCCTGCCAGCTCAAAAGCAATATTAAGTGGAAAATTTCAGAAATGAACAAGTCATACATTTTAAGCTGGGTACTGCTCTGAGTAACATGATGAATTCTCACTCTGTTCACAGCCAGGAAGAGAATTACTCTTTTGTCCAGTGTGCCCATGCCCTATGCTACCTTCCCATTACTCACTTTGCAGCCATCACAGTTACATGCAGGGTTTGGTACTACGCAATTTCCAGATGAAGCAGTTTGTCCTTATAAGCAAACTGCATCATCTTGAAAACTGTGATACGAAGTCTGTGGCTCTGAGGGCATTTTTGTTTTAGAGCATGCAGACAGAAAATACGTAAATAAATAATTAATAGTTGTTGTAGTCCTGAGGAGAAAGAATAGACAATGAATAACCAAGGGCAGGCTATCTGTGGCGCACAGGGAGAAGCACCACATCAGCAAAAGTAATCAGGGAAAGGCTGTCTTGACAACTGAACCTTTGAGTTCATACCTGAATCAATTAAGGTGGTAACATTGGGGAACTCTGGGAAGTTTTTCAAGCATAAGAAGCAAGCACATAGACCTTAATGTGGCAGCAGACACAACTTGTTCAGAAAGAAAAGGGAGGCAAATGAACCAGAAGTAAATGAAAAGGTGGAGAGTGGTAATGACGCAGATCAAGAGGTATAAGGACGACATTAGAGCCTTTGTAAAACATGTAAGGGCTTTGGTATTTAAGCAAGATAGGAAGTTGCTGAGCATTTGGAGCAGGAACATTACGTGATCTGATTTAATCTTGAAAGAATCTCTCTTAATGCTCTGGTGTGTACAGACACTGAAAAGACAAAAAGAAAAGCAGAGATTCCAGTCAAGAGGCTATTTATTCCAACAATCCACAGGATGACATTTTTCTGGACAAGGAAAGAAGGATGATGTTAAGCATGGTTTGAAGTTTTGACATGTTTTGTAGATGGAGGTGCCAGGATCTTTGGATAGACTGAATGTGGTATATGAATAGTCAAGGATCAATCTTGTTTTGTGTCCTAGGGAGCTTGTCTGGAAAGAAGGAAAGAAAATTCAATTTTGGACATGCTGTGTCTGACATGAAATGGCAATATTTAGAAATCAAGAAAGTGAGGAGCATCTAGCAGAAGCTTTGAACCAGTAAGCAGTTAAAGGAAACACAAGAAACATGACATAGCACCAAATGAAAACTGGATTTTAATGAGGACTTTATCAAATGCACCAATAAGTTAATTGAATAAATATGCACTGAGAATTGGCTACAAGGTCTGATGTTGTGGTGGCCAACACTGACTGCTAAAAAGAATAGGTTGTACGAGACAACATTGATTGCTATAAGAACAAAAGGTTGAAGTGAGTTCAACAGAGAATGTGAGAGAAAGAAGGGAAGAAAGAGCATAGAGAACATTTTTGAGGCATTTATAGAAACTGGAAGCAGAGAAATGGGGCTGTGCTATCAAGGGAGTTTTTTAAAAGATGAAACAAAATTCAGGTTACTTATTTGTATGCTGGAGGCAATGAACTAGATGAGAGGGAAAATCAGATGACACAGGTGTTAAATCCTTGAGGAGCCAAGAACAGACAGTTCCTAGGAATAAAGGGAAGCATATGGCTCAGAACACAAGTTAGATACTCTATATACAATTGTCTTTCAATATCTAATCCTTCACAGACACCCAAATCAGCAGATGATCAAGTTCCTTACTTGGAATCACACGGTATTTTCATAAAACCCACCATATCTTCTCCATATACTTTTTAATTTGGGGTGATGCATACATAGTTGACCAGAGTATGAAGGGTCAAGGCCTAGGGGAAAGTAGGTGAGACCATAATTTCCAAATTTTCACTTTCTTCCTTCTGTGTCTGGGGGAAGAGGGGAGATTAGGGAAGAGGCTGCACACAGCCTCCCAACTGCCCCAGCACCTGCGGATAGGGTATGGTCACCCAATTTCATCACAGGGTCCCGAAGGTGGCACATGCTCCAATGGTTCCAATCAAGTGGTTTTAATAGTTCTGAAATGCTATCAATCTCCCTGATCCAAACATGAGGAAATATTTCTAAAGTTTACTGGCTGACACATTCCACTCCAGAGTCTCCATTCACCCAGATAATTGTTATCAACATTTGGCTAAGGCAGTTGACCAATTTGTTTTGCTCTCTTTTTTTCTCTATGATACCAGATGTCCTCTGTAGGCCCCAGTGGACTGGCATATCCTCCATGTGCATCTGGGCACACAGTCCACTGCTTTCCTTAGTCACTGAGTAGGCCCAATTCTGACACATGCACTCCACAGTCAGACCAAAGATCCTACAATTCTCTCCATGGTTGGAGTTCTGAGTCCAGTTGGGTAATCCCCAAGAAACCTTGTCTGAGGTGATCCCACACCTGACTCTTGTGTGCGTTTTCCAGTATGGCGTCTGACTCATTCCGTCAGCCATATCAGCCTATACACACTCTGGTAGTTGCAACTGCTGGGTCAGTTCTATCTCTAGTCCCATCTCTTACGTAAACCAATAGATGCTGCAGCCCAGCCCAACTCTGTGTACCACACACTCGGCCCTCAAGTACACAGGCAGGGA